ATCCTTCATTGAAAACTGTTTTCTTATCTTGCATGAAGTATGGCTTTCCTCCCAGATTGAAGTCTTTACAATGAAATCTGTTGTTTCTATATGTGGAGAAAGGGACAAAAATAGAGCTTGTTTATTTTACCTTAATTCAATTCCTCAATTATTGATACTCTGAAATAATAAAGAAATCTAAATGGAAATTGTTGATACTTTGACGAATAATTGACACAAGCTTTGTTACGCATTGATTGTTACAGAATCTACAAATCAATAAAATGATATGTCTATCATATCATGTGCACAAATTTCACGATGAATTGCTGCGACATTCAATCATGACCCCACAACTTGTTGGCATATATTGTCTCTTGTTCATTTCAAAAGTGAAATAGTCAGCAAGCGTATATTGCAATCAATCACTTGTCACATGACGCAGGTGAGACCGGCCTGGCAGGTTATATAGTGTTAGTTATATGGAAATCAGTCATTGTACACTGACAGCATGGTAGAAGGACGTCAAGCATGGCAACAAAACATGTTTGACACACAGAAAAAATAATATTGTTGGCCCCAGTGTTGACGAAATCAGAGACCGGTATTTGGGAATATCTAAACGAGATCTGACCTCATTCAAATAAAATGGGACTTCCTTGTCAGTTATTATATATTACACTCCAAAATTGATTATTGTCTTATCATAAGATAGGCCGTGGACTTATATGTAGAGATTAGAAAGGTTTTGTCCTTGCCCTCGTAAACAGCCTTTGTACACCTTTGATAGCATGGTGGCTTTTCTGTTACATTGGGACTTGTATATAAAGAATTTATGACAGATATAATGATTGAATGGTTGACCGGTCCTATTATTAAATAATATATGTCATTTGATATGTTATGTTATTGTTAAGAGTGAAAAGCATTGGTTAGTTAACCCAATTTTGCTGAATCAAATTGTATGTTTCATGTGTTGGTTATGCATTTTCATATTTGAATTAATTGTCGGTTTATGAAATATAAAAACTCATGTAGAGTCGTAGGGTTGTATCTTGTTCAATATCAGAAAGGAAATCAATTTTACATTAAAATCTTCTTGTACTAGGATTTGTGTGAAGTAATAAAATTGTTAATTTATCAAAATAATTGGCAAATGAATGTCCTTGAGCTTATGGATCCAATTCCGGACATATAATCACTCGGAATCACTAGCTCAAGTCTTCAGATGAGCTCTGAATGTGTGTAAAATTATTCTTGCTAGTTACACAGTCTCTCAGCTGACCTAAATTTCTGGAATCCTATCCTTCTACAAGTAGATGAATATTCTTCATTATTAGGCAAATCAATGTAAACTTACTTTTTTAATCTCAAAATATATGTATTTTTGGCCCAGGTAGTCCTGATGTCAAAGATGTATCAAAATAGTATTCAGACCAAAATTAGTTGATTTTGAGCTGTTCTGAAAATAATGATATATTAGGGAATGTATCCCAGTTTTGTTGTTATAGAGAGGAGTTACATATATATTCTTTGTAGCCTTTGTGGTTCTGATGTTTAGAATTTCTCATTCTTTTGTATATTTAAGCTTTTGTGTCTTATTCATCATGCACAAGGAAGAAATAAGCCGTGTGTTAATCTAATGTGAATATATTTTAGTCAAACATCAATATTTGCTGTCGTGTATGACAGAAATAAAGAAATTTATTACTTTGATCTTTGAGTCACTGTGCAGTCAATTATTTCTGTTACTGAACGGCCATGTTCGTAGTTTATAGGAATATATTAGTCTTGTGGGTCAAATTACATTATTAAAAAATTACCCAGACTTGGATAAGCAACTGATAAAATTCACTTGTTGATTCGATTAAAGCCCTCAACATTTTCAAACGTTGTAATTCATTCCTCAAGCTCTATAAACATGTTACATTTAGAGTTTATATGATTGACGCATACTCTTACAAATTTAATATTTTTGAAGATCAAAATAAAATCAGATTGTTCAGAATATAAGATAATTTTATATTGTATATGTTGATCAATAGGATCAATATTCTTATCATTTTGCAATGAATAGTGTTGACTTTATGACTGATCGCAGCAAAACATGGTTAATTTATTATTTGAAAATTCAATTATTGCTAAATGAGATGTTGTTTATTTTTAAATCATGGTGGTTTGCGTCTTTTGTGGACTACATTGTCTCCATTGATTTAACGTCATGTTGCATCCTCAGACACTTGGGCTTAATTTCATCATTCCATGAACCTTTGACCGACGCGAGGAGAGCAGATCGAGCTGAGAACGCGAGTAGAGTAAGACTGTTCCTATGTAAACATGGCTGTTGAAATTTATCGGCCAGGATTGTAAGTACGATAATATACCGTCCACAAACTGCTATGAAGAAGACGCATGACCAATCATGCACAAAAGCTATTAAACATTGTTCGAGCCCTCCACCGAATGTTTCTGAAAGAGAATAAAATAACCCGGCTTTCTATTGTAATAATATTGTAATGATGGTCTTTGAAATTATTTTGACAGGGCTGACAGAAAGTATTAATGGTTGTATTATTGATAGTATATCATTCTAGATTGTGCATGTTAGGGTATCTCGTTTGCCATGGGAATTTTCTAAGCATAGGCAATCCCTTTTGTCTTGATCTTATCCCTTATTAATTGTTTGTGTTGTCATGTGACGTTTAAACAGTATGATAAGTCATGTGACATGTATTTGTTTATTTCAATGTTTGAATATTTTGTTAGGTGATATGTCTTGTGTATCCAAGAATTAAGAGTTATGTGAAGCTTTTTGCTTGAAATTGGATTTTGTTTGTTTGGAATATCATTTTCCTTCCTGTCAGCAGAACTAAGTAGGTCTTGGCTGAAACAACTGTTTATACAAGTCAAACCTTTCAAATATGTTTTCAAGAGACGTTAAACATGCATTTGAACATCTTCAGTTTTAATATGCAATTCATATTTGAAGAATTATATCTGTTACATAATATCTATATATTGCAAGAAAATAGCTGCAATGAATCAATATACATTGCACATTAATTTTGTGATGGAGCATTGACATTAGTCCTGCACCATGACTGTGGAATTTATTTATTTTATGAAAATACAACAATCGAGATATGTATATAAAAGCAAGTGTAGCCAGCTCTATTCCACATTAGCATCAGGAAAATTAGTTGTTTAATTATAGAGTTGAGAAGGGTATTGTGTAATATAAGATTTCATAGACTAGATGTTAGTCTACGTTGACATGTTATGTCATTTTACAAGATGTGTTCATAAAATAGTATGTAGTGAAAATGTGCAATGGATTGTTTGTGCAAAGTCCTGAAGACTAATTATGTTAATTATTGCCTCCTGACGTTGATTAATTAGATTCCAATAACAGCATGGTAGACCCTAAAGCATTATCCGCCTTGTCGTTTACTTGACATGTAATTACTATGAAAGGATCGCATTGATGGACACATCAAGGGTGTATGTTTCATGTTATTAACGACATGCTGTAATTCTTTGTCGATTGTATGTCTATAGCATAGCTATAGAGCCTCTGCAAGACAAAGTGTAGAACGTGTTTTGTTTCTTAGAGGGAGTAGTATTTTACCACTACGATTCAGTATAAAGCTCAACACAACTATTAAAAATCTCTTATTGACCTGGTGTACCAATTAGTCTCTAGTTTAAAGGAATTTCTATGTCAATATGCTAAGAGACATGAAAACAAACTAACACAATGTCACATCTTATTTGTGGTTTATTTTATCAAAACAAACATAAAAATGATATAAAACTACAAACAAATAGATATTACGAAATATGCAAAATTTTCAATCAAACACAATTTTTGCATTTTTGCTCTTATATTTTGTGCCAATACTGAGTTGGATCATGCATAACAAGCCTCAGCATGTCATCACCATAAGTGTGATTCAGATACTACCACAACAAGTAAATAACATCAATTATTTATATATTATGTATTTAGTGTAGTTAGGATATTTGCTGAATATATTATAGATTATTAATTATGTGTTAAAAAATCAATTCCAGTAGGTCATGAGTTCAATGTCTGCTGTAAGGCACTGAGAAGTGAAAAAACATGACTGGTTCAGATGGAGTGGTTAAAAAATGGACAGTTATTTGCTATTAAAATATTCATATTACTTGTGGGTTTCCATGATACCAAACTACTCATTTGGCATCAGTGGGTCGATTCATGACATCAGCATGGTCGACAAGCATTGGTGGAGGTGTTGTTTGACGCCGCCAGTTTAACGTTGTATGGCTGAAGTTGCCGACACGCTTGTGTATGTAAGATTCACTTGCAAGTAGATCTAATTGGTATTGATTAATCCTACAATCCCAGCACTGGTATGTGTGCGGGAAACTGTGGTCCAAGGGACATAACTCAAGCTTGGCTTGACTGCAGAGTACATGATCAAGGCTAGGATGGATGTTTTGATTGAAACACTGAATCTGTATGATAGAGGATGGTTAGCAGGTTTTTTTGCTGAATTTAATTTTTTTTTTTACTTGTTGTTAGTGTATGAGAAGAGCTGTTGAGTGGATTGTGCCCATACAACAGTTATACAAGAATAACTCTCCTTGAGGGGACTTCCAGGGCTGTTGTTTGCTGACAGAGCAACCTCAGAACTATGAACATGAAATGTATGAAAATCTGCATGAATTAAAAAAATATATATTTCAAAACCAAAAAAACACGACAAGGCTCATCATTCACCTGATGAAGGAGTAAGCATATGCCCCGAAACGTTGTGTTCCTCATGATAAAGAAGTTGACATCCATATAGTCTCTTCCTTAAGTGTCATATATCTGTTCCCCGACCCTGTTGATATTACTCAGTGATGACTACACTGACCATTGGTTCAGCTGCACTATGTCTGCTATTACAGAGTATCGTGACCTTGTGATCAACATCACACGCACGTATGTATGTCCAAATCCAGAGCATAAAATGACTCTACTTTCTCTTCAGAAATATAAGGAACTTGCCCAGCCTACTTTCTCAGCATGGAAGATGGAGGAAATGAGATTGAGGTGGTGGTCCAGAGCGTCCTCGCGCCGGGGTGTCCCCAGGGGCGGTTCCCACTGCAGGTCCCCAGCAACATCTCCGTGGAGGGGCTGATGCGACGGGTGTGCAAGGACGCCAATGTGCCGCTGTTGCCACACTACGTGTTGAAGAACGCCAGGAATGAGGTGCTCCCCTCCCTGGAGACGTTGAACAACTTGGATGTGATCAACGGCAGTGTGTTACACTGGGACGATGACGGTAGGTGTAGAGGTTGAATAACTTGGAGGTGATCAACGGCAGTCTGTTACACTGAGCGATGGTGGTAGGTGTAGAGTTTGAATAACTTGGATGTGATCAACGGCAGTGTGTTACACTGGGACGATGACGGTAGGTGTAGAGGTTGAATAACTTGGAGGTGATCAACGGCAGTGTGTTACAGTGGGACGATGACGGTAGGTGTAGAGGTTGAATAACTTGGATGTGATCAACGGCTGTGTGTTACACTGGGACGATGACGGTAGGTGTAGAGGTTGAATAACTTGGAGGTGATCAACGGCAGTGTGTTACAGTGGGACGATGACGGTAGGTGTAGAGGTTGAATAACTTGGATGTGATCAACGGCTGTGTGTTACACTGGGACGATGACGGTAGGTGTAGAGGTTGAATAACTTGGAGGTGATCAACGGCAGTGTGTTACACTGGGACGATGACGGTAGGTGTAGAGGTTGAATAACTTGGAGGTGATCAACGGCAGTGTGTTACAGTGGGACGATGACGGTAGGTGTAGAGGTTGAATAACTTGGATGTGATCAACGGCTGTGTGTTACACTGGGACGATGACGGTAGGTGTAGAGGTTGAATAACTTGGAGGTGATCAACGGCAGTGTGTTACTCTGGGACAATGACGGTAGGTGTAGAGGTTGAACAACCTGGATGTGATCAACGGCAGTGTGTTACTCTTGGACAATGACGGTAGGTGTAGAGGTTGAATAACTTGGATGTGATCAACGGCTGTGTGTTACACTGGGACGATGACGGTAGGTGTAGAGGTTGAATAACTTGGATGTGATCAACGGCTGTGTGTTACACTGGGACGATGACGGTAGGTGTAGAGGTTGAATAACTTGGATGTGATCAACGGCTGTGTGTTACACTGGAACGATGACGGTAGGTGTAGAGGTTGAATAACTTGGATGTGATCAACGGCTGTGTGTTACACTGGGACGATGGTGGTAGGTTAGAGACTTTGAATAACTTGGAGGTGATCAACGGCAGTGTGTTACACTGGAACGATGATGGTAGGTGTAGAGGTTGAATAACTTGGATGTGATCAACGGCTGTGTGTTACACTGGGACGATGGTGGTAGGTTAGAGACTTTGAATAACTTGGAGGTGATCAACGGCTGTGTGTTACTCTGGGACAATGACGGTAGTTGTTGAGATTTACTAGCACCTATCACTGATAATAAACTCATTACTTTTAGCCATCAGTCCTTATGATCATAGGTACGGGAAAAGCTTCAACATTTCATTTATATTCAGTGCCAACATTATATTAATCCTTCAGTCTATTATTCTCAGCTGGGCAGTCTCATTTCTTCAACAGATTGAAAAGATTAGGAATCAGAAATTTCTTGGAATGTTACAATTACCATTGTGACTTACAAATACAAATTTGACAAACGAATGAAAACAACCAAACAAGTCCCTTCTTAAGATACCCCATCTCTGACAATAGATTATGTCCATGAAATGATTGGACAAGACTAAAGTAAATCCACAACAGCACTCCTGTGTGAAGTGGATAACATTCAACAAAGTCACGTCATAATAGTAGAAAGCATTCCTTGCGTTTAGAAGTGAAGTCTCCCCTCAGAAGCTGCTTGTGACTTTCTGCACTAAGTAGGCTTGCCTAGTTGACATTGGTAATGCACACAAGCCCCTTGTCCCTCTGTCAACTCCCAAGTTGGATAATCTTGTTCAATCTGGACCCTACTGTGTGGACTAGTTACTAGGAGATTCTCATCAAGCAAACACACAAACATGCACAGGACTACTTGATCTTTGATTGCCGCTAGTATTTCAACAAAGATGATTTTCGATATAACTATATTGGTATCGGGAGTCAGGACATAATGTAATGTAATGATGACAAAGGGTACTAATGTTCCTCTAGTCTCCATACACTCGACACTTGGTTGAAGCATGTCATCGATCCCAATTGCATGGATTGATGCTTATGATATCAATCACTGGATTGTCTGGTCCAGACTCGATTATTTGCAGACCGCCGTCATATAGCTGGAATATTGCTGAGTGCGGCTTTTAACAATAAACCAACCAACCAACCATATATATTGATGCATGCTCTAAGTGCTTACATTATTACCCCGGGCATTGTATCAGTGTGCACTCCATTTTTATTCTCAGCTACCTGGGGAGAATGCAACCCAAGCTGCTTTGTCGGGCACTAGAAGGTTAACCATCACATTTCCATCTCATCCCACCGGGTACCCATCTTTACTGCTGGGTGAACAGAAGCACATTTTGAACAAAGTCAGTTGCCTAAGGAGACACCACATGTGCTTCAGTGTGGGTCAAGACCGAAGCCCTAGAAACTCTCAGGAGTCACACAGACAAATGTGGTCACCCATCCAACTGCACTCTGAGAGACACATTGCTTCACTTCTCAGGGTGATTCCCCACATGGCGAGACTTTCATGAATGGTCTGGCTGTCTTGTTGTGTCATCACACCCAAATAATGGCCTCAATTTGGCCCCAGGAATATTGCTGCAGGTTCTGTCTTAAACAGCACTCTTCCTTTGAGCTGAACACACATGTGGTGTACCTGAGCTGACAGTCACATACTGACAGGAGGAAGGACCTGCACATTACTGTCACATCTACCAGTAGTTGTGTTCTCTACATGGGCTTAGGCGTCCCATATCAGGTTGGCGGTATGATAGCGGTCTGTAAATAATCAAGTCTGGACCAGACAATACAGTGATTGATATCATGAGCATCGATCCAAGCAATTGGGATCAATGACATGCATCAACCAAGTCAGCTAGCCTGACCACCCGATCCCCTTAGTCGCCTTTTATGGCAAGCATGGGTTGATGAAGACCTATTCTACCCCGGATCTTCACGAGTCTCCCAGATCAGGAGTGAAGTCTATGCATCTAGAAATAATACATACAGAATGAATGAATTGTTAAGACCTTCGGGCGAACAAAATCTATTATTTCTCTTTCCTTGTTTTAAACAAATGAAGACTCCTAGATTGTTTTCATTCACAATTGGCCGTCTTTAAACATTGGAGCTGCCTTCAAAGCAGCAGCTTGATCGTGTGGATTTCACGATTGTTTGCTGAATAAACAGTGCTGAGAAAGAGGCGATGACCCAAACAGTGTTTGTGGGAACACAGGTGAACTGTGATAAGTGATCCAATTATTGCTGTCGGGGTGAGGAACAAGTGGCAAATGTACAAGTGAATGTCAATGTGTTAAATAGATTGATTTCATCAATGTGTTTCATTTTCAAATCATGAAATGTTCTTCTATAATGCCATGACTATTTTTTATAACACCTTAGGGGGTGGAAGGTAGGGGTATACAAAATATGTTGTCCTTTCCCAAAAGAAGATTGCTGCTTGTTTTGTCTGAAGTTCACGAACAGACATGTGTATGCTGATACATCTGTACCGTGTCGATATAATGAAACTGTGATGCGGCTAGTGTGGATGCTAGTGTGCCGGACCTCCCTTCCAGCCATAGGTGGCCAAATCTGGTATAAAACATTGGTGAAGCAGGCTGTTACTTCATCACAAAGTCGAACGGGTCTGAAATTTGCAGCTTTCAGAAAATATTGATCTTTATTTGGGACCGTTGTTTCTTCTAACAGATACTTGAAGTATGATTTACACTTCTGTACCTGGTGATTTGATTGAATTTACTGCTCAGGTTTTCTATAAGACTTGGCAGCCCACAACACACTTACTTTTTATCTTAAGAAGCCAGATGTTGTCCCACCATCTTGCTAAGATCTCTAGAAAATATGCCTTGATTTTGTAAGTCAGCTGTCTACTTATTCCACACAGTATTCTATATTACTGCTTGAAGAGGCAGTTTGTGTTGTACAGTCATATGATTGTATACACAAGTGTTTGTGGTGATGTTTAGTGAGTGTGTGATGCTGCTTTGAACACTATAACAGTTATATGTAAGCTTCATGTGGGAGGAATGCGATGCTGGTATCAGATGCTTGTCACTTTGATGCAACCCATGAACATGGGTATGGTGCTGACAAACCTAGAAACATAATCAGGATGAACTGGGATTCAAATCCACGATCATAGGTTTCTGGTGTGCCTAAGGGGCGCAACTCTGTGCAGTGAATTGCATAACTTTGGGCTTTCCTCTTACATCAAGCTGACACACTGTGATGTAACTGGAATACTGTTCAAAGCGGCATTAAACCCAACTCACTCGCTAGTCAAGTGTTCTTGGCTGGCTTTTCAAACTAAGTACCAGTCCCACACAATCTTTGTCAGTCCCAACTTTGAACAAATGAAAATGACCTGGTTTTAATTCTTTCAACATCAATATCAATGCAGTGTACTTTCATGGCTGACAAATTCAGTGACATTATTTCTGAGGTAACTTATTTAGATCTACAAGTCATTCACTCAAAGTTCAATCACAATTTTCTCTTTTTCATCTGAATATTTCACTTTGATTCAAGATTAAGTCACTACAAATAGATATTTAACCTCGAAGAAAAGTGAAATATTATTTCCTTGCACTAAAAACAGATAAGGGGAACCCTGATGATAACAGACGAGCTGACTTCATTCGAAAAAAATACTGTATTCAACGTAATAAGGGCCCCGCACTAATAAGCGCCCACGGCAATATTAATTTTGCTAATATATTGGCTAGTGAACAATCCCAATTAGCACCACTTCCGATTGATCAATGTACATAAGACTTATTGATAATGGGCACTATAATGGGCGTATAATGGGCACTCGTGTGTTATATGCACCCTTAATTATGGGCAATTAAATTCTAGAAAAATATATCTGTCGTATTTAAACTTTTCAGGCTGTCAGCATAAACCATGAAATTTATCTTTCAACCCTGTTTTTTTCACCAAAATAATATTCTAATAAGAGCCCCCTATTTCTTATTTTGAGAGCGCCCTGGGCGCTTACCGGGTATTACTTCGACTACGGGACTTCAGCAATATAGATTTTCGAGATACCTTATTTACCCGTCCATAGGGACTGGCAGTCACAAGAATTACTGGTTCAAGCCTAATTTTACTGCAAAAAACCTGGTAATTACGGGTACACAGGAACACTGCTAGTCAGACTGGTCACTAGGCATCCTTGCTGGTCCTCACTTTCAGTGTCCAGCACTGTATACACGTGGAGGTTACATCCTAATTGTAGGATTTGGTTGGTTGGTTTGTTGTTTAACGCCGTACTCAGCAATATTCCAGCTATATGACAGCTGGCTGTAAATAATCGAGTCTGGACCAGACAATCCAGTGATTAATATCATGAGCATCGATCCACACAATTGGGATCGATGACATGCATCAACCAAGTCAGCGAGCCTGACCACCCTCGCCTCTTACGACAAGCACAGTCACCTTTTACGGCAAGCATGGGTTGCTGAAGACCTATGCTACCCTGGATCTTCACGGGTCCTAATTGTTTGAGACATGTGACAACTGATGCATCTGCTCCCTGTGAAGCTAAAGGGTAATTGTAACGATGTAACTACTGGGGACTATCCAGGGTACAGAGCCTGTATACAGGTGGGTGCCCAGCTGACACATGAAGGCACCCACCCTCCCATCACAGTACCCAGATAAACCAGTATCTACCAAGCAAAGCAAAGTCTCACATCACATTCATAATGTCCCTTAAGGTAAACCAGAAATGTGTCCTGTTCCTGATCTGGCTCGGGGTATACCTACTGTATATATGATGATATATGATTTTCCTGTTCAGATTTGTCTACAAAGACCAGCGTGAAAGGCTGGTGCAACACCTGGTGGTTCATGTGTCTGATCGCCTTCTTCATTGGCGCCATCGGTCTTGTCGCTATCAGTATCATCAAGTCCAAGGAGTCTGCGGTAGCCTACAGTGTGAGTGCCTTCAGTTTGCCTTTCTTCGTCTTCACATCACAATAGATAGTTCCTCATACAAGTCATGTGACCGCAGCTATCCAAAACTGGTCTTTGTTGATTTCCTGATTATACACATGAAATATTGATGGATTTAACCAGTTTGATATGAAGACATTTCCTAATAATTTCAAAATCAATCAAATCCAGTTGACCACTGGTCTGATGCTTTTGTACAAGTGATCGCAATCTTGGTGAATTGGAACTAGACTGAAACTGACAACAAGAAGACACTTGTGTCATCCTACACAACTCTGTGTCACTCTAACAAATGTTTATGTTGTGTGTTTCAGTATGGTATTGTGTTCGATGCTGGCTCGTCACATACGTCCATGTACATTTACCAGTGGAATGGCGCCAAGTTGAATGAGACAGCAGTAGCCTCTCAGTTCGGGGAACCAGTCACTCCTCCAGGTAGGTCCACTGCCACTTCACTGTTCAAGAATTTAAGGAAGGGGAGACCTATTGTTTTTTTCATTTTTTCATTGGCTTTGGCGTTCCCATCCTATTTCGAGTCATAACTTGAAAATCGTTCAATGTTTTTCAGCGAAACCTGCCATAGGCATTGCTCATTAGCTTAACTGGTGCCATTTGCTATTTTGAAAATTTTGAAATTTTTATTTTTCCATGGAAACAATTTTGACTTAGTCTCAAACGAGGGTAGGGTTCATTTCTGGGCCATAATTTGAAAACTATTCGACATGTTTCTTCAAGACTGCTCATATGCACTGGTCATCAGCTTAACTGGTGCCTTTTGCTATTTTGAAATTTTTCGATTTTATTGTTACAATTCCATGGAAACTGTTTGGACATAGTCTCAAACAACTCTAGGCTTTGTTTCCGAGCCATAACTCTCGAACAAATGAACATTTTTGCATGAAATTATGCATGTGCAATGACCATATGCTCAAGTATTGCCTTTTTATATTTTTACATTTCTTAATTTGTTGTGTTTCCATGTTTGAACTGAGTCCAAAGTAGCGTTTGTTTCCCGCCAAAACTCAGTTAATGAATATGTCTGCATGAAACCATTATCCTTCTTGGCTATATGTGCTATTATTGTTTTTCGGACTTGCAAACACATTTACAGTACCAACTTGAACTAAATTATCAAAAATGAGGAGGGGTGAGACAAATGTTTTTGTGTAAGAACACATTCTAGTCCAAAGCTGAGAGGAGTGTTGGGGTAGCCTAGTGTTTAAAGTTTTTGTTCGTCATGCCAAAGGCCTGGCTTTGATCACCACATAGGTACACTTATGTGAAGCCCTGGTGTTCAACTGTTTGTGTTATTAGAAGCCTGCCTTTAGATATTACTGGTCACAGAGTGGTGGGCAGTAGGGTGAGGAAAGTTTCATGTTTCATTCACATGTTCATGGCAACTACATGATTTGTCCTCTAATGTTCCCAGTAAGTGAGAGTAAGTGAGTTGGGTTTAACGCCGCTATTAACATTATTCCAGTTATATCACGGGGTGTCAGCTTTATGTGGGAGGAAAGCCCGAAGTGATGCAGGTCTCAGATGTTTTCCACTTTTGTGAACCTATAAAACATAATCGGGGCGAACCTGGATTCGAACCCACAATCATAGGTTTCTGGCGTGTCCAAGGGACGCAACTCTGCGCAGCGAATCGCAGCGCTTTAGACGACTGGGCCACCCGTGCCCCCGTTCCCAGTAAGCCATGATGGTGATCAACTAGATCCTACCAACCCAAGGTTGTACCCATCCATTTCATCAGTGTGCAAGGCAGGTCTGAAATACAGTCCTGACATGGACATTGGCAGAATAATGTGTTGTAAAGTTCTAGTTCATGTAAAGCGGTTCAAACAACGATGTGACAGATGCTGTCTGTGGTTTCAGTTGCAGGCATCTCACACTTCACGACTGACACTACTGAAGGTCGACATGTGGTCAAGATCTGTTTGGACGCAGCGCAGGATAGGATACCACGCAAGAACTGGAAGAAGACCCCGGTGTACCTGGGCGCCACAGCTGGGATGAGGATGCTCAAGTGAGTTCTCTCCTGGCACTGACTGGGTGTGAGGGTCGATGAAATGAGTTCACCCTGCTTGTTGTGTCATAGCACTGGGCATGAGGATTGATGAAGTGAGTTCACCCTGCTGGTTGTGTCATGGCTGGGTGTGAGGATTGATGAAGTGAGTTCACCCTGCTGGTTGTGTCATGGCACTGGGTGTGAGGGTCGATGAAGTGAGTTCACCCTGCTGGTTGTGTCATAGCACTGGGCATGAGGGTTGATGAAGTGAGTTCACCCTGCTGGTTGTGTCATGGCACTGGGTGTGAGGGTCGATGAAGTGAGTTCACCCTGCTGGTTGTGTCATGGCACTGGGTGTGAGGGTCGATGAAGTGAGTTCACCCTGCTGGTTGTGTCATGGCACTGGGTGTTAGGGCCACTCATCTTCAGTCATAAGTGTGTGTTCCTGAAGACTATGATCAAATTTTCTTCATGCTTGTGTGTTGATGAAGTCTTTGATCAAACATTTTGCATGCTTGTTTGTTGATGAAGTCTATGATCAAACATTGTTGCATGCTTGTGTGTTGATGAAGTCTTTGATCAAAAATTGTTGCATGCTTGTGTGTTGAAGTCTTTGATCAAACATTTTGCATGCTTGTTTGTTGATGAAGTCTATGATCAAACATTGTTGCATGCTTGTGTGTTGAAGAAGTCTTTGATAAAAAATTGTTGCATGCTTGTGTGTTGATGAAGTCTATGATCAAACATTGTTGCATGCTTGTGTGTTGATGAAGTCTATGATCAAACATTGTTGCATGCTTGTGTGTTGATGAAGTCTTTGATCAAACATTGTTGCATGCTTGTGTGTTGATGAAGTGAGTTCACCCTGCTGGTTGTGTCATGGCACTGGGTGTGAGGGTCGATGAAGTGAGTTCACCCTGCTGGTTGTGTCATGGCACTGGGTGTGAGGGTCGATGAAGTGAGTTCACCCTGCTGGTTGTGTCATGGCACTGGGTGTGAGGGTCGATGAAGTGAGTTCACCCTGCTGGTTGTGTCATGGCTGGGTGTGAGGATTGATGAAGTGAGTTCACCCTGCTGGTTGTGTCATGGCACTGGGTGTGAGGATTGATGAAGTGAGTTCACCCTGCTGGTTGTGTCATGGCACTGGGTGTGAGGGTCGATGAAGTGAGTTCACCCTGCTGGTTGTGTCATGGCTGGATGTGAGGGTCGATGAAGTGAGTTCACCTTGCTGGTTGTGTCATGGCTGGGCGTGAGGATTGATGAAGTGAGTTCACCCTGCTGGTTGTGTCATGGCTGGGTGTGAGGGTTGATGAAGTGAGTTCACCCTGCTGGTTGTGTCATGGCACTGGGTGTGAGGGTCGATGAAGTGAGTTCACCCTGCTTGTTGTGTCATGGCATTGGATGTGAGGGTCGATGAAGTGAGTTCACCCTGCTGGTTGTGTCATGGCACTGGGTGTGAGGGTCGATGAAGTGAGTTCACCCTGCTGGTTGTGTCATGGCTGGGTGTGAGGATTGATGAAGTAAGTTCACCCTGCTGGTTGTGTCATGGCTGGGTGTGAGGGACGATGAAGTGAGTTCACCCTGCTGGTTGTGTCATGGCTGGGTGTGAGGGTCGATGAAGTGAGTTCACCCTGCTGGTTGTGTCATGGCACTGGGTGTTAGGGCCACTCATCTTCAGTCATAAGTGTGTGTTCCTGAAGACTATGATCAAATTTTCTTCATGCTTGTGTGTTGATGAAGTCTTTGATCAAACATTTTGCATGCTTGTTTGTTGATGAAGTCTATGATCAAACATTGTTGCATGCTTGTGTGTTGATGAAGTCTTTGATCAAAAATTGTTGCATGCTTGTGTGTTGAAGTCTTTGATCAAACATTTTGCATGCTTGTTTGTTGATGAAGTCTATGATCAAACATTGTTGCATGCTTGTGTGTTGAAGAAGTCTTTGATAAAAAATTGTTGCATGCTTGTGTGTTGATGAAGTCTATGATCAAACATTGTTGCATGCTTGTGTGTTGATGAAGTCTATGATCAAACATTGTTGCATGCTTGTGTGTTGATGAAGTCTTTGATCCAACATTGTTGCATGCTTGTGTGTTGATGAAGTCTTTGATCAAACATTGTTGCATGCTTGTGTGTTGATGAAGTCTATGATCAAACATTGTTGCATGCTTGTGTGTTGATGAAGTCTATGATCAAACATTGTTGCATGCTTGTGTGTTGATGAAGTCTTTGATCAAACATTGTTGCATGCTTGTGTGTTGATGAAGTCTATGATCAAACATTGTTGCATGCTTGTGTGTTGATGAAGTCTATGATCAAACATTGTTGCATGCTTGTGTGTTGATGAAGTCTTTGATCAAACATTGTTGCATGCTTGTGTGTTGAAGAAGTCTTTGATCAAACATTGTTGCATGCTTGTGTGTTGATGAAGACTATGATCAAACACTGTAATGGTATGGGACTGTATGATCAATCATTGTTGTGTTACATTGATGCGTTACTTGTGTCTTCTTGAAGACTGTAATGAAACGTTGTTGTATTTCAGTGAAGTGAACAAGACCATCAGTAATGAAATCCTGGCTGTTATCAGAAAGGCCATCTCTGAGTATTCCTTCATCACCAGTGACGACGATGCCCTTATCATCACCGGGGAGGAAGAGGGGGCCTTCTCTTGGATCACCAGCAACTACGTCGAGGGCACCTTCCACGTGGTCAGTGTCATCACATGTGCCTAGATATTGGTCCATCATCTTGGATTGTCACCAGAGTAGTCTGCTAACATCTCTTTGGGCTTTCACTCCCACATCAGGTTACAGCTACAATGTTGTAACTCAGATACTATTTAAACTTACATTTTCTTAATGCTGGACATGATGTTGATCTTTGTACAATGTTCCACAGATATAATGTTTCACTGTGGGTTGATTGTACCTATGAATCATCTAAGACAGATAGATAAATTTGGTGAAGATGAGTTGTATGTTTATGTGTAAATTGGAATTATTGTAGACCGGCTACAGAGCACAGCAATGAGCTGTTGTGACATTCTCTGTTGTCTAATATTGATTATGTGAATTCCAGACCCCTCCCACATCCAACATGTTATCAGAGAATATGAAGCCTAAGACAACTGGAGCTCTAGACATGGGCGGGGCGTCGGCACAGATCTCATTCATCCCCAACATGACGGTCCCCCAGGGGTACAGTCGGCCTGTAGAGCTCTACGGACACAACTACACCCTCTACACTCACAGCTTCCTCTGCTATGGCATCAACGAGGCACTGCGGCGCTACAGAGCAGCCCTTGTACAGGTAGGTTACACTGTCAACGAAGCACTCCAATTGTACAGAGCAGTCCTTGTACAGGTAGGTTACACTGTCAACGAAGCACTCCAATTGTACAGAGCAGCCCTTGTACAGGTAGGTTACACTGTCAACGAAGCACTCCAATTGTACAGAGCAGTCCTTGTACAGGTAGGTTACACTGTCAACGAAGCACTCCAATTGTACAGAGCAGTCCTTGTACAGGTAGGTTACACTGTCAACGAAGCACTCCAATTGTACAGTGCAGCCCTTGTACAGGTAGGTTACACTGTCAACGAAGCACTCCAATTGTACAGTGCAGTCCTTGTACAGGTAGGTTACACTGTCAACGAAGCACTCCAATTGTACAGAGCAGCCCATGTACAGGTAGGTTACACTGTCAACGAAGCACTCCAATTGTACAGAGCAGCCCTTGTACAGGTAGGTTACACTGTCAACGAAGCACCCCAATTGTACAGAGCAGCCCTTGTACAGGTAGGTTACACTGTCAACGAAGCACTCCAATTGTACAGAGCAGCCCTGGTACAGGTAGGTTACACTGTCAATGAAGCACTCCAATTGTACAGAGCAGCCCTTGTACAGGTAGGTTACACTGTCAATGAAGCACTCCAATTGTACAGAGCAGCCCATGTACAGGTAGGTTACACTGTCAACGAAGCACTCCAATTGTACAGAGCAGCCCTTGTACAGGTAGGTTACACTGTCAACGAAGCACTCCAATTGTACAGAGCAGCCCTGGTACAGGTAGGTTACACTGTCAATGAAGCACTCCAATTGTACAGAGCAGCCCTTGTACAGGTAGGTTACACTGTCAATGAAGCACTCCAATTGTACAGAGCAGCCCATGTACAGGTAGGTTACACTGTCAACGAAGCACTCCAATTGTACAGAGCAGCCCTTGTACAGGTAGGTTACACTGTCAACGAAGCACTCCAATTGTACAGAGCAGCCCTGGTACAGGTAGGTTACACTGTCAACGAAGCACTCCAATTGTACAGAGCAGCCCTTGTACAGGTAGGTTACACTGTCAACGAAGCACTCCAATTGTACAGAGCAGCCCTTGTACAGGTAGGTTACACTGTCAATGAAGCACTCCAATTGTACAGAGCAGCCCTTGTACAGGTAGGTTACACTGTCAACGAAGCACTCCAATTGTACAGAGCAGCCCTTGTACAGGTAGGTTACACTGTCAACGAAGCACTCCAATTCTACAGAGCAGCCCTGGTACAGGTAGGTTACACTGTCAACGAAGCACTCCAATTGTACAGAGCAGCCCTGGTACAGGTAGGTTACACTGTCAACGAAGCACTCCAATTCTACAGAGCAGCCCTGGTACAGGTAGGTTACACTGTCAACGAAGCACTCCAATTGTACAGAGCAGCCCTTGTACAGGTAGGTTACACTGTCAACGAAGCACTCCAATTGTACAGAGCAGCCCTTGTACAGGTAGGTTACACTGTCAACGAAGCACTCCAATTGTACAGAGCAGCCCTTGTACAGGTAGGTTACACTGTCAACGAAGCACTCCAATTCTACAGAGCAGCCCTTGTACAGGTAGGTTACACTGTCAACGAAGCACTCCAATTGTACAGAGCAGCCCTTGTACAGGTAGGTTACACTGTCAACGAAGCACTCCAATTGTACAGAGCAGCCCTTGTACAGGTAGGTTACACTGTCAACGAAGCACTCCAATTGTACAGAGCAGCCCTTGTACAGGTAGGTTACACTGTCAACGAAGCACTCCAATTGTACAGAGCAGCCCTTGTACAGGTAGGTTACACTGTCAACGAAGCACTCCAATTCTACAGAGCAGCCCTTGTACAGGTAGGTTACACTGTCAACGAAGCACTCCAATTGTACAGAGCAGCCCTTGTACAGGTAGGTTACACTGTCAATGAAGCACTCCAATTCTACAGAGCAGCCCTTGTACAGGTAGGTTACACTGTCAACGAAGCACTCCAATTGTACAGAGCAGCCCTTGTACAGGTAGGTTACACTGTCAACGAAGCACTCCAATTCTACAGAGCAGCCCTTGTACAGGTAGGTTACACTGTCAACGAAGCACTCCAATTGTACAGAGCAGCCCTTGTACAGGTAGGTTACACTGTCAACGAAGCACTCCAATTGTACAGAGCAGCCCTTGTACAGGTAGGTTACACTGTCAACGAAGCACTCCAATTGTACAGAGCAGCCCTTGTACAGGTAGGTTACACTGTCAACGAAGCACTCCAATTCTACAGAGCAGGCCTTGTACAGGTAGGTTACACTGTCAATGAAGCACTCCAATTGTACAGAGCAGTCCTTGTACAGGTAGGTTACACTGTCAACGAAGCACTCCAATTGTACAGTGCAGCCCTTGTACAGGTAGGTTACACTGTCAACGAAGCACCCCAATTGTACAGAGCAGCCCTTGAATGTTAAGGGTACACTGTCAACACAGCACTCCCGTATAATATAATATAATATATATATAATATATACAATATAGCTATCATGAAAACAGGAAAAACATTTTAATATATGTTATATTCTTTTGCTGTACTACTTATGTATCACTACATGTTCAGTCAGTGTTCTTCATTAAGCAAACTGGACTAAGCACTATATGGTGTAGTGGTTGAACATCCGCCCGGAGAGCGGGAAGTCCGGGTTTAATCCCAATGATACCAAAAGATGTTAAAAGATGGTACTTGTTGTTACCCTGCCTGGCGCTCGGCGTTTAGGGGCTAAAACAAGGACTGGTCGGCTGGTAATCAGTGTGCTGTGTCTGAGTGGGTTATTCATGTTAAGCTGCGGCATGGTATCTCAGTGGGCTAGCACTGTAAAATCGGCATTCGTCTGGACTAGTACAAGCAGCCACGCACATGTGCATGCACGAAGCTTTATAAGTGCAATTACATAAACTACTTGTGCTCTACATTTCAGTCCCAGAACTTCTCAGTGGAAATCAATGACCCATGTGCTCCCGCTGGCTGGAAGAGCAACTTCACCCACGATGCACTGTTCCAGGCCCCGTGTGTCGGGGGGCAACATGCTGTCGATACCTTCGGCTCTCGCATTATCCCAGACGTGTACCTGGATGATGTGAGTGTGTGACGTATTTCAAGTTTATTTGTTAAATCTGGGTTCTACTTGTCCTACTTTTAACAGTATTCCAGTTGTATCATGGCGCTTCAGTTAAATGTGGGAGGAAAGCCCAAGTGATGCAGGTATCAGACGTTTACCATTCAGTGAAACCCACGAGCACGGGTATGGTGCTGACAAACCTAGAAACATAATCGGAGCAAACCGTGATTCGAACCCACAATCATAGGTTTCTGGTGTGCCCAAAGGACGCAACTCTGCACAGCGAATCGTGATGACTGGGCCACCTGTGCCCCCTCATCATTTGTCAGAGGTGTGGCTCTTAGCAAATGTTGAGTAGTATAGCTATAATATTGCTATAGCTAAGTGTTGTGTTAATCAACAAACAGACATAACCAGGTGAGATACTGACGCTATTGTTCTCTTGTTCCCAGGACACAGTGTTCTTGTTCAGTGGCGCCAGTGATGTGGAGAAGTGCCAGAGTTTTGTGGCAGACAGTCTCTTCAACTTCTCCGCCCAGTGTGACGACAGCCCGTGTTCCTTCAATGGCGTCTTCCAGCCTCCTGTCGTTGGCGATTTTTATGTAGGTTCATTTGATTGACAGTTCATATTTCTGTATGAGTATTCCAGGGCAGAATGGTCGTCAGCTGCACAGGTTTGTTGTAGGAGACTGAGGATCAGGTGGCCATGATGGCTACTGTGTATTGGGAGTCCGGGGCAGAATGGTCGTCAGCTGCACAGGTTTGTTATAGGAGACTGAGGATCAGGTGGCCATGATGGCTACTGTGTATTGGGAGTCCGGGGCAGAATGGTCGTCAGCTGCACAGGTTTGTTATAGGAGACTGAGGATCAGGTGGCCATGATGGCTACTGTGTATGAATACTGCTTGGATGGGTGACCACAGAAACACATAAACTCCCAGCCATGACCTGACTTGTGTTTCATTGTACCGAGGCATAGGGCAATGGACACTACTAGTTGGACACAGTGCAGACTACCATGGTGTTGCTGACTAGAATGTAAAGTTAACCCTGTAACCTGCTTGTAGGATAAATACTCCTAATAGGTTTGTAAGTATGTTCAGTTGGATCACTGCAGTAGAAGGTCATTGCCATCCTTTCACTATCACCAGGCGTTTTCTACATTCTACTATGTGACAAACTTCCTGAACCTGACTGATGGGACGAAGGCCTTCACCTTGCCAGACTTCCATGCTGCAATCGATGGCTTCTGTAACAAGACATGGCAAGAGGTAGGGTCCAATTCAGAATTCATATAGCTACAGTAAGGCTTACTTCACAGCTACAGTCATATGTACGTGGGAATAGGTGGTGCCACTTCAAGTATCAAGATTCACATTTACAGGACAGGCAGGTGGCAGGCACATACACAGGCAATGAGTGTTGGTAGAGGGGCAGTCACATATACGGGAGGTCTAGTTGGCAGTCACATATACGGGAGGTCTAGTTGGCAGTCACATATACGGGAGGTCTAGTTGGCAGTCACATATGGGAGAGGTCTAGTTGGCAGTCACATATACGAGAGGTCTAGTTGGCAGTCACATACGGGAGGTCTAGTTGGCAGTCACATATACGGGAGGTCTAGTTGGCAGTCTAATTTATAGTGGTCTAGTTGGCAGTCACATTTATGGGAGGTCTAGTTGGCAGTCACATATACGGGAGGTCTAGTTGGCAGTCACATTTATAGAGATCTAGTTGGCAGTCACATTTATAGAGGTCTAGTACGTGGGAATAGGTGGTGCCACTTCAAGTATCAAGATTCACATTTACAGGACAGGCAGGTGGCAGGCACATACACAGGCAATGAGTGTTGGTAGAGGGGCAGTCACATATACGGGAGGTCTAGTTGGCAGTCACATATGGGAGAGGTCTAGTTGGCAGTCACATATGGGAGAGGTCTAGTTGGCAGTCACATACGGGAGGTCTAGTTGGCAGTCACATATACGGGAGGTCTAGTTGGCAGTCTAATTTATAGTGGTCTAGTTGGCAGTCACATTTATGGGAGGTCTAGTTGGCAGTCACATATACGGGAGGTCTAGTTGGCAGTCACATTTATAGAGATCTAGTTGGCAGTCACATTTATAGAGGTCTAGGTGGCAGTCACATATACAGGAGGTCTAGTTGGCAGTCACATGTACGGGAGGTCTAGTTTGCAGTCACATTTATAGAGGTCTAGGTGGCAGTCACATTTATAGAGGTCTAGTTGGCAGTCACATGTATGGGAGGTCTAGGTGGCAGTCACATTTATAGAGGTCTAGTTGGCAGTCACATTTATGGGAGGTCTAGTTCGCAGTCACATGTACAGGAGTTCTAGTTGGGTATCACATATACGGGAGGTCTAGTTGGCAGTCACATTTTTAGAGGTCTAGTTGGCAGTCACGTTTATTGAGGTCTAGTTGGCAGTCATATATACAGGAGGTCTAGTTGGCAGTCACATTTATAGAAGTCTAGTTGACACTCACGTTTATGGAGGTCTAGTTGGCAATCACATTTATGGGAGGTCTAGTTGACCATCACATTTATGGGAGGTAAAGTTGGCAGTCACATTTATGGGAGGTAAAGTTGGCCATCACATTTATGGGAGGTAAATTTGGCAGTAACATTTATGGGAGGTCAAGTTGGGCATCACATTTATGGGAGGTCTAGTTGGCCATCACATTTATGGGAGGTCTAGTTGGCCATCACATTTATGGGAGGTCTAGTTGGCCATCACATTTATGGGAGGTCTAGTTGGCCATCACATTTATGGGAGGTCTAGTTGGCCATCACATTTATGGGAGGTCTAGTTGGCCATCACATTTATGGGAGGTAAAGTTGGAAGTCACATTTATGGGAGATCTAGTTGGCCATCACATTTATGGGAGGTCTAGTTGGCCATCACATTTATGGGAGGTCTAGTTGGCCATCACATTTATGGGAGGTAAAGTTGGCAGTCACATTTATGGGAGGTCTAGAGGTCTAGTTGGCAGTCACTTTTACAGTTGTGAAGTAAATTTACCAGGTCAGGGGGGAGGTCACATTTACAGGTGGTGTGAGGGGCAGTCACATTTACAGGTGGTGTGAGGGGCAGTCACATTTACAGGTGGTGTGAGGGGCAGTCACATTTACATGGGTGGGAACAGTGTAGTAAGACCACCCTGAGGTGACTCCCTGGTTATGCTGCAGGTGGAGGTGATGCCAGCTGCCAAGAAGTCCGCCCTCCCGTCCTACTGCTTCCAGAGTAACTTCATTGACATCATTCTGACAAGGGGATACGGCTTTGATACAAGTAACTGGAACAACCTACATTTTGTTGAAAAGGTGAGAACAGACACAACTGAAAGGGGTTTGTGAAGGTAGCGTCATGCTCCTTTGCTATGTCTCACAAGGAATGGAATAAGCTGTATATTGATTTCCCTGTGCCGTAATGTTATTAAACCAACTCTTTCAACTGCTACACATGCTCCCCAGGAATAGTTTCATGATTTATGCTTGTGAGAGTGGCTCGCTGTCATCTACACTTGTGTTATGGTTTACCAGCTTGTGAGAGTGGCTCTCTGTCATCTACACTTGTGTTATGGTTTACCAGCTTGTGAGAGTGGCTCGCTGTCATCTACACTTGTGTTATGGTTTACCAGCTTGTGAGAGTGGCTCGCTGTCATCTACACTTGTGTTATGGTTTACCAGCTTGTGAGAGTGGCTCGCTGTCATCTACACTTGTGTTATGGTTTACTAGTATCTGTAGATTTCATTGGAAACAAAACGTGAGATTTCATCTCAGTGTTGAGATGTGAGATAAAGTACTCCTCATGTATGCTTGAGATTGTTAAACTCAAGAAGAGAGAGCTGAGGCAGAGTGCGACGGAGGGCAAAAACCAAAAGTCTTGATCCCTATGCTCTCATCTCAAGTTTTTACAGCCTCAAGCTTCCCTTAGGAGGAGTGTTTCATCTAGCTCAGAAACAATCAAATAACAATTAAAAAAATCAAGGTTGAGAAAATATGTCAAATATTGATGAAAAACAAATACTAAGTTGTTCCTATTCCCTGTCAGGAGAGGCTGGAGCCATCATGGTCTGTGTCCTTGACCTACCCAGTGCATCATAGCTCTATCCTATTTTGTGTGATGTGTTCCCTGGACCATTTCACCGCAGTAGCTTCACATTTGAAGTGATGTCATCATCCCCATCTCCCATCACTAATTTAGAACACTTCTCTCACGCATGACCTTGAAATCAACAAATCAATTAAAATGCCTCTTCTGAACCAAAGTTTGGCACAGATCAAAATCCAAAATTGCACCTCATATGAGTAATCCCTCAATATCTTTTACTGAAACGACACAAGTGTATCCTGGGGTGGGTTGCAAAGCACCAATCGCTTGCAAGCGATGTACAGCGATGTACAGTGATTCAGCGATGTACTTTCAGCCGCTTGCAAGCGAAACAATCACTGGCTGAAGTCGCTTCGTTCTCAAACCAAAATGCAGCTGACTTTGACAGCAGAGCAAGAAATTCTTGACTGGTTCAACGAGGAAATGAACAAAGGGAGCTAACACCCAATCATCCTCAGTCTGCTCCACATCTTTAAAGTAGTCATAAATTTTATCAGCTCGTCATTGAGTCTCTTCTATTTCATTCTCCATTACATCAAGGCAACCAAGGGGTAGTTGCGCCGCCATTTTGGAAGAGTGCGCAAGCACTTCGAACTGTTGCAGACCCGGGGATTAGCAATTAATTTGCTTTCTCTAAACGATTTGTGGCTTGCAACGTGCCCCTTTATTCTGAAATGATATTACAAACACAAGACCTAGGCACTGTTCATTTCTGAAATGGCTGAATACATGTATGCAGCAGTGACATGTTCATGCTTGTGTTGCAGGTTGCCAATACGAAGATTGGTTGGTCGCTAGGGTTTATGTTGAACAAGAGTAATGGGATACCAGTGAATGAGCCGCAGAACTCTATAAGCACAGTGACCTTTGTTCTGTTAACGGTGTTGTTCGCACTGTTCATCCTGGCCGCTGTTGGGTTCGCCTGCCATGCCAGGCTGTACAGGGCAGCTAAAGCCAAGAGGAAATACACAAGACTTGCTGAATATGGAAGCATTTGAAGACACCGGGATTAAGTCTTGATGATTATTACGAGTGTCTGTTAGTGATGTAATTGGTCAGGAATTTACTTACACGGATCAGTATTGGAAAGGATATTGTTGTATGAAGGCAATAGGTGTCTAAATTTGTGGTAGGTTGTGTAATTCCGTTGAAACTTAAACATGGTGTTTGATTGTGTTTTTGGATTTGTATTTGGAAAACATTTAAGGTAATTTTGGTTAGGAGTTTTAAGAATTGAACATTGAATGGTTGGGTGTATTGGGAAATCAGGTGCATCCGTTTTATTTGCAGTTCTACAGATGAAATGTATGTTCACAGAGATAAATTATTTTTGTATGATGTAAATTTACTTATATAGTAGTATTTACATGTGTTCTTTACAAAGTAGTTTTGTAATCTGAATATTTTATCACATGCGTTATTATTTTAGTCTTGTTAAAAAGTGTGTTTACTGTAAAGGAATGACCCCTGAACTGTGACCTTGACCTTATGTTATGGTGAGTCATGAGGTAGGATGGCCATTGAGGTCATTTATGTAGAACAGCACAACTAGTGACCATCAACTTGAGATTGAAATCCTTATATCTTCAATTAACTTTTTTTATCTTAAGTTTTGTCTTATTATGAAACCAATGTACATTTTATATGTATTTTTAATTGTTGTTTTAAGAAGGGACTGCAGAAAAGTGGACAGACAGTTTGATTCAGGACACACAATTATTTATTTTCCATATTTTAAATTGTATTTCGATTGTCATACTTTTTACATCACTGACTAAAATGTTGTTTATTTCCTTTGAATACTGACATGACATTTAATGCCAGAACCATCAAGTAAAATAAGATCTATAATTATCCACAAAGCTTTTATTCAAAGCCGAGTTTCACTGTTTTGTGTAGTTACCTTTGATATTATCATGATATCTACACTCACAATAACAGGTTCATATCATTGTTTGATATGACAAAGTCATACTGTTATAGTTATATCGGGACTGACCCTGCAGGGATTCCATAACGCCTGCTTACAGTACCCCATGCTGGTCACAAGAGCCAAGCTAGCCTAGCGTGTGACATCACTCCTAGGCTGGTGCTCATTCCTGAACCATTCTTTTCCAGGTCTGAACTTGTGATCATTTATAGGTTGTGTGATGTTAGCAGAATATCACTGATGTGAAGGATGCAGCAGTTCTTTGTATTAACACAAGGACACTTATCTCCAATAGAGATTTATCACGTCCATGCCTTTAGTTTCGTGTGTTTATGATATGAGAAACACCAAACACAGTATCACTTTCAGTACATGTGCACCTACCAGGTCTTTCACATCTAGTCTTGTGTAACCTCCAGCCGACCCTGCAATAAGGGGAGCAACTCAGTCCTGTTCACTAAGAACATCTTTATCATATGGTAGTGATAATTCCTGTATTGTACCATGTAAACAATACTACCATATATATATATATCCTAATGAACAATACAAGTATTTGCCATTGCAAGGGATGACTTGTCCTCTTGTTGATATTTGTGAGGTGAAGTATCACACAAGAGTGTCCCAATGGCTGGATGTCGAAACAAGAGCAAGACAGCCAATGTGAGAAAGGGTGTATACAGCACCCCATTCTTTCCCCAACCCAGATTCTGGGCAATAAAAACTTGTAAATAGGACCACATTCCATGAGATATTAGTGCTATGCTATAGCCAGTCTGACTGAAGCAAGTTGAGATGCTAGAGGTGAGGTGAAATTGGGTTTAAGCATCTCTGAAATAATGGGTTGCTGAAACTGACATGTATGCTGCTTTTGTTCCAATCAATGTTGACAGCATCTTTTAAGTTGCCATTTTAGTCCGTTGACGTCCTATTCAGGTGGGCTGGTGTTGTGGCACTATTTTTAAGTACTTTGTACTTTGTAAATATTCCAGTTTACTACTGTGACAGTACCAGGTTTGAGATAATAAACTAGCAACTGCATTCCATACATATACAAATGTTACATCTGTGGCCCAGGACAAATTAGTTGGCAACTGTTTCAGGGAGGATGGATGTGCCTGGATTCGAGATTAAGTCACTTTACAAGGTCTCTAAATTGTTTTCAGGAAACTTTAAGCACCTGCCAAACCATAAAATAAGATATTTTAAATATGAAGAAATAGAAAAAAAGTTGAATTGGATAATTCTACAGTTTAAGAGCATGCAACTGTTTTCACTTAAAGAGTGCTAATTCATATTACCGGTATTATGAATATCGCAGGAAGTGACATTCAACCCCAGGCGTCTTATGTTCAGCAAGCTTTTATGTATTTCACAAAAATGGAATATTGGCATTTGATATGCTGATGATTTGTGTGTGTTTCTGTAATCCAATATATACTTTTTATATGTTCTGTATGCATTTTGTGTGTGTGTAGTTGACAAACTGATCAAGATACCTTCCATGTCTGTATTCCCCAGAACAGTGCCCAGTTATGCAGGGTCATGATGTTTGTCAGTGTCAATCAAAATGTCTACATGGATGAATTGAAATGCATGTTATTGAATATCGTGATATAGTATTTATATTCATACATATCCTACAGAACACAGTTTGTCCATGCCACTGTGCCAATGAGCCTGAAGCAGCGTGTGTGGTTTCACAGAAATGTTAACTCAAGGTTTTCAAATCATTCCATTTGGTTCAATATGGATGCCAGGACATATGTTGCAAATGCTTTTTATTTTTGTTAATCATACTTCATCGCTAAAATATACAACAAAATCAGTGATTCACCTGAAGTCTTGAGATGGTTACGTCTATAATTCAATAGAGGTCGTGATTCAGCCATTGGTCATAGCAAAGCTTTATAATAAACTTTACTTGGTGGGGAAAAAAGAACTGAATGTTTTTATAAGAAAAAATGTATAAGTCTAGTTGATTTGTTGAATGTCTTACGAGAAGGAAGATGCTTTCCTCTACCAAATAAAAGCATTGTTTGATGTACGTGTCGTGTCCTAACCTCTCTGTGGATGTGTGTGCAAGCTGTTCTCACAATAAACAAAGTATGCCAGGATGATGTGGAAATTTTAATACAAAAAGTGTATCACAAGCACAAGTAGCACATCCATGAAAACATCGGCCATATCATCGACGTCACCGCTCTGTGGACCAGATGAGGGAAGAGAATATTCAGAGCAATTGAAAAACAAGATAATTACACAATACACCTTACAGTTCCCTGTAATTTTCCACAGCATAAATGAGGGCAGTGAACCAAATAGAGGCAGCCACAGTCGTGAATGTCCTGGTCCTGGTGCTGAGACACGCTTGCTAGGGGCTATGGCAGCATGATTCTGTATAATTTAAATTAGAGCACTTAAAGATGTCCATGATTATGTCCTTCACATTGGTCTCCCCCGACCTCGTCCCATGGGAGGTCGTCCTGGTCCAGGGCCTCCTACCTCAGACTTAGGATTCCTAATGGTCTCGTCCACAGACAGGATGAGACAGGATGCTTCTGCAGCTGCTGTGATGGCGTTGATCTTGACAACAGATGGTTCCCACACACACTGCTCAAAGTTGTCAGAGATGTCCTCCTCCAGGATGTTCACCCCCTGCCACATCCCACCTGAAGATAACAGCATACAGATGTAGGGGATATTACTGTACAGATGTAGGGGATAACATCACAGATGTAGGGGATAACATCACAGACATGGGGAACAGCACACAGATGTAGGGGATAACAGCACACACATGTAGGGGATATTACTGTACAGATGTAGGGGAAAACAGCACACACATGCAGGAGATAATACTGTACAGATGTAGGGGATAACATCACAGACATGGGGAACAGCACACAGATGTAGGGGATAACAGCACACTAATATATGGGATTAAAACCACACAGATGTAGGGGATATTACTGTACAGACGTAGGGGATAACAGCACACAGATATAGGGTGAAGGATAATGAGTTCGTCACAACACTGCTTTGAACAGTATTCCAGTTATATCACAGCGTGTCAACTTAATGTGAGCGGAAAGCACAAAGTTATGTAGGTCTCAGACGTTGCCAAACAGCAACAGGTATGGTGCTGACAAACCTAGAAACATAAATGGGGCGAACCAGGAATTATAGGTTTCTTGTGTGCCCAAGGGATGCAACTCTGCAAAACAAATTGTGATGCCTCAGAAGATACTATCATCAGTTCAATCCACTCCAAATAATTTTTCAACACTCCTGCTCAACCAAACCTGCTATTCAAACAAAACCCCACGAGTGAAACATAGTCCCTGCTTGGAATGTTGATGTCTCCACCTAGCTCCAACACATGATCAGATAAAACCATTTAGCATATTATTGTTTCTGATCATCCATTACAAAGAACCTGGGGCACACTAGTGGGTTGTACTGAAACACCAAGGATCATAATCAGGAGCAAGTCTAGTATTTGAATTCATGATCAGCAGATCCTGGCATGACTAAGGGTTCCAACTCTTCAGAGTCTTTTGTGGTGTCTTGGAGACTTGTAATACATGTGAAGCTCAACAATGGACATATATTGAAGAGCAAAATAGTCATACATAAGCCTTGCCCACAACATGCCTAGATACAATGATCTGAAATCAAGACTTGACACATTACAATTCTGAACTGGCCAGTAAAAGTGAGCTATACACTGCAAGGAAACCTACCTTGTGCATGGCACTGTCGTAGTTTGTTGAGGATGTTGGTAGCATCGAAGCCAGCGTTGTTACAGAGCTGGCGGGGGATGACCTCCATGGCCTTGGCTAGGGATGCTATGAGAAGCTGCTCCTTCCCCGCGATGGTGTGGGAGTATGTCCGCAGGTACTTGCTCAACTCCATCTCAATAGCACCTCCACCTACAGCAGCAACAGTATCAATCAGTGCTGGATCGAGGTACATAAGCTACTCGTGAATGCAGCATGGTATTCTTCAAAACTAGCTTTGAAACTCACAAGGAATACTCAATATCTTTAGGAAAAGTTAAATTGAAATTTCTACACCCTTACGCTTGTGGGGATCAAAGGTCATTTGAAAAGTTTGCTTGTTTGTTGTTTAACGCTGCACTCAGCAATATTCCAGCTATATGACAACATGTTGTCGATATGTAAATAATCGAGTCTGGACCAGACTATCCAGTGACTGATATCATGAGCATCAATCCACACAAATAGGATACGATGACATGCATAAACTAAGTCAGCGAGCCTGACCACCCAATCCCGTTAATCACCTCTTAAAAGGGTTTTGATGGTCTACTGACATTAAATAGAACCTGGATTACTCATTGGCCATGTAGACACTATGTATGGCCTTAGTTCACTGTTGACACTATCCTGGTGGGGGACATATTGGACCATGTGTCAAACAAGCATTGTTTCCAACATGAAAATCTGAAGGCTGTGACACATGCTTCTGTGGTTTTATACCTGTGACCTATGTACCTATGATTCATGTGACCACAGAGTCAGGTTCCCATGTGAACATGAAGAGTGCGCCACATCTCATGGAACCTACTCGGGTTGACTGGCCATCTTACCTGCAACAACTGCATCATTTTTCATGGCCCTCCTGACGATCATGATGGCGTCGTGCAGCGACCGCTCCGTCTCCTCCATGAACTGTTCCGCTCCTCCTCTGAGGATCAGGGTGCAGGTGCGGGCCTGGGGACAACCCTTGAAGAAGTTGAACCTGGAGTAGAGTGAGTGAGTTTGAGGTTTAACACCTCTTTGAACAGTATTCCTTTAGTATAACGGTGTGTCAGCTCAATGTGAGGAAAGCCTGAAGTGATGCAGGTCTTCCACGTTTACCACTTTGGTGAAACCCACAAGCACGCGTATGGTGCTGACACACCTGGAAAATGTATTTGGGGCAAACCAAGTTTTGAACCTATGATCATAGATTATTGGCACACCAAGGGGACAACTCTGCACAGAGAATTGGAACAACTTAGATGACTGGGCCTCCCGTGCCCCTACCTGGGGGAGGAGAAAACTTATAAAACTCTACCCCAACACTTCTCATTGACATTGTATTCAGCTGAATGAAAGGGTACCTTCATATGTGAACAAGAAAACAGCATTATCACTAGTCCCTGCCATCGAGCACATTAGAATGTTGTTTGTTCATACAGTAGTGAATATAAACTAAAAAAAAACAAGAAGAGTCCTATAAAGCCTTATGTAGAGTTAGGCACTGGCGTCGCTTTATGTCATGCAAAATAATGATTAAATGTGAAATTAATACACACAAAGGCTCCTACTTTGGAAAAAATATTTAACGGGCCAATTTTGGAACTCGGTCTTGACAAGCACCCCACTGAGATAAGCATGCAAACTGTCGTTCATGTCACATCAGTAGTTTCTGAGAAAACTTGTCCCCATTGCAGATCGTACTATCTTGACAAGTATCTTTTAGATAAGTATATAAACCTTTACTCAAATAATTTCGGTAGTTTCTGAGAAAACTTGTCCATTTCATGCAGTAGGCACCAAGTTGAAAAGCACGGGGCAAGGGCCATAACTCGGTACAAAATGAATTTAAGAAAAAATTTCGAACTCATTTAAGATCATGACCAGTAATATCAGTGTGTGGGGACGGATGGAGGGACTTTGTGGCAGGGAGTTAACTGATTCCTTGCCGAACTTGGCTGGAATTATGGAGTTATATTTTGGATGGACTAACAAATCTATGCATCGTCTACTCAAAATCTCGTAACGAAATCGACATCCGGTTCGTAAACTGCAGTCCAGATTTCAGTCGATTGCAGAATTTGCAAAGCATGTGCACCGCCAACTCGGAGATATTTCCCAAATCTTTTCATGTTTTTAATGAAGGTGCTCACCTGATTTGATGCACTTCGCGAATTAAGAGACGTTTTATCACAATATAGATTTTGATTATCGATCAGATCGTCTTGAGTGGGTGCTGCCATTTTGTTTGAAGCAAATGCAAATGATGAGAGGTGGAATCTGATAGTTCAATAGGAGGGACATATTAGGGACATAACTTGTAATAGCCTCTGGTGGCGCTACAATCGAGCCCAGAAATTCCAGCCTAGTTCGGCAAGGGTGGAAACTGGACTTTCATAGTCAGTGAACTCCCTTGCCTCGGGAAGATGGGGACAATAAGGGTATAGAGAAGGCACACCTGTTATCAATGGCAAAAGCACTGATCTAGTTGTCTGGCTTCAACCTCATCTTGGCTACTTCTGGCATTAAAAGTACTACAGAACACTCAGCAGAACTGAATCCTAATTGGCTGCCATCTACACCAGGCAGTGATACATTACCAATCTGTCAACCCAGAGTCACCCCCAGCGATGCATCTGCAAGACACTCATTCAGACAGATCACATCCATCCACACAAACCTACCTATCTCCGCCGACCTGAACCTCCTCGAAGGTCTCGCACGACCCCAGCACATCCTCCGTCAGTTGCTGCACCGACGTCTGTATCGACCCACCACACGCCTTCATCGTCCGCTTCAGGTCTTCATCTGGCACACGACCAGCACAGAACATGTCCCTGCAATACAGCGCCATGATGATTGAGGCACCCATCAATGTAGGACACTAACAAATCACTGTCTCGTCCTCACAGTGAGATCAAAAATGACATGCATTGCCTTCCAGAAGTATTGACGCAGTCACAAGGCCTACTGCCAGCTTGTCTAGCGGAGAATTTTTTTTACATTTCCATAAGTGTAAAAGTGTTACTTTGGTATTCAAGAAAAGTAACATGATGACTGATTAGGATCCCCAGAAGATGAAGATCATAGTATCAGATCCACTGCCAACACTGCCCAGCCAGCCGCTCACCTGTCAGCAAAGTACTGTGTAGCGACGTCTCCGATGGGGAGTTTAGACAGGACCACCTTGGCTCCACTCTTGTGAATTCTGTCCAGCTTGTCGTACAGGATATTCCACTCGGCGTCAACAATAGACTGGTACTCCTGTAATGGGGGACATGGGAATAAAATGCTTTAAACTTACATCCTGGAAACATAATCAGCATTCTGTGACTCGTCAGGGCCGTATGGATACACTCATGATGCATATGTCCACTGAAAGATACAAATCACCTACCTCTACAGAATGGACTCCACCTGTTGTGGACTGTAACCTACCTCTACAGAATGTACTCCACCTGTTGTGGACTGTAACCTACCTCTACAGAATGGACTCCACCTGTTGTGGACTGTAACCTACCTCTACAGAATGTACTCCACCTGTTGTGGACTGTAACCTACTTCTACAGAATGTACTCCACCTGTTGTGGACTGTAACCTACCTCTACAGAATGTACTCCACCTGTTGTGGACTGTAACCTACCTCTACAGAATGGACTCCACCTGTTGTGGACTGTAACCTACCTCTACAGAATGTACTCCACCTGTTGTGGACTGTAACCTACTTCTACAGAATGTACTCCACCTGTTGTGGACTGTAACCTACTTCTACAGAATGTACTCCACCTGTTGTGGACTGTAACCTACTTCTACAGAATGTACTCCACCTGTTGTGGACTGTAACCTACCTCTACAGAATGTACTCCACCTGTTGTGGACTGTAACCTTCCTCTACAGAATGTACTCCACCTGTTGTGGACTGTAACCTACTTCTACAGAATGTACTCCACCTGTTGTGGACTGTAACTACCTCTACAGAATGTACTCCACCTGTTGTGGACTGTAACCTACTTCTACAGAATGTACTCCACCTGTTGTGGACTGTAACCTACCTCTACAGAATGTACTCCACCTGTTGTGGACTGTAACCTACTTCTACAGAATGTACTCCACCTGTTGTGGACTGTAACCTACCTCTACAGAATGTACTCCACCTGTTGTGGACTGTAACCTACCTCTACAGAATGTACTCCACCTGTTGTGGACTGTAACCTACTTCTACAGAATGTACTCCACCTGTTGTGGACTGTAACCTACCTCTACAGAATGTACTCCACCTGTTGTGGACTGTAACCTTCCTCTACAGAATGTACTCCACCTGTTGTGGACTGTAACCTACCTCTACAGAATGTACTCCACCTGTTGTGGACTGTAACCTACCTCTACAGAATGTACTCCACCTGTTGTGGACTGTAACCTACTTCTACAGAATGTACTCCACCTGTTGTGGACTGTAACCTACTTCTACAGAATGTACTCCACCTGTTGTGGACTGTAACCTACTTCTACAGAATGTACTCCACCTGTTGTGGACTGTAACCTACCTCTACAGAATGTACTCCACCTGTTGTGGACTGTAACCTACTTCTACAGAATGTACTCCACCTGTTGTGGACTGTAACCTACCTCTACAGAATGTACTCCACCTGTTGTGGACTGTAACCTACTTCTACAGAATGTACTCCACCTGTTGTGGACTGTAACCTACCTCTACAGTATCCACTCTGACTTCAGCATTCTCCTTCTCAGCCTTCAGCTCCAGCTCAACATTCAGCAAAGCCAACTTGGGTTTCTGGTACTGCTTGCGCTGCATCTCGAAGCCTGCATAGCTGAAAGTCTTCTTGAACGCCACCCCAGACACCAGCATGGAATCCTGAGTTAATAAACAAGTGTCCATAGGTATAGAGAGGGAAAGCAATGGTTTTCTAGTCTTGGTCTATTAAGGAAGCTCATGCCAACTGGTGTAATTAAAGTTACAGTATCCCTATGTCATAAAGTTTAATGACATAGATTTGTTAATTAAAAAAATGGAGTAGAAGTAAAAACATCACCAAGGCAATGTTTCTCACCAGGTACTGGCACATGAGCCAAAGATTACATGCACTGAAATCTTTAGCCACCAAGTAAAGAGTGAGTGGGCGCAAGCATGGTAAGTGGAAGTAATTGGTTCTGAAATATCATCAACAACAATGTCCACAATGAGCCTAACTGGTGATCCTCTCACCTCAAGGGCTCCGCCCTGCACTTTCTTGATGCCGATCATGTTGAGAGGCAGCAGCTCGTCCAGCATCATCACCGCATCCACCACCATCTTGGAGAAGAAGTCTTTCTGGGAGGCCACCAGCTTCGAGCTCAGCGAAGTGGCGGCACACTTCTCCAGGAGGCTACGCTGCTCCCTAAAACAACGACAAATTCTGACACCATGTTTAGCCGACTTCATACATTCACATGAGCATTACCTTAATAACACACCACCCTGTACATAACAGGACTACTCCACATGTCGGACAATGTGATGGAGATTCGACCAGTTCCTGTAATAACTGATGTGCCCCTCCTTGTGATGCCAGCTACTTACCATTGCAAGTTATTTGTTATTCAACACTGCACTAAGTAATATTCTTGCTTTAGAGGAACAGTAAACAAGGCCTGTAGGTAATCAAGTCAAAAGTGATTGATATCATGAACAACGATCCACGCCGTTGAGGCATGATCACATAATAATCCAAGACAATCAGCCTATCATGGCTGATAGACTCATACGACAAGCAATTGCTGGTGGGATCTAGCCTGGGATTAAACCTGTGATCCCAATGGAGCACACATTTGTAAATCTGTGTATTGCTTATTGTGATGTGATATTCTGACATGGGAAAATCACTATCGACAGACTTCTACTCTGAACGACAGAATGAATACTGTTTAAACTGAATGTCTGCAATATTCCAACCATATCCTATGTATGTGTGTGCAAGCGGAAGATGTTTAACACCACTCAGCAGTATTGTAGGTACATGATGTCAGGACTGGACAATCCAGTGATTTATATGAGCAATGATCCACAGTTTGGTTACATTTACACACTATCAACAAAGTCACCCAGCCTGACAATCCGGTCCATTAAGACGAATGTTAGACCATCATAGGTTGTTAAGGAACAATTCTAACCCCAAATCCCCCATTGAGAATTTCCAGTGTCAAGCACTCCGCCTCTTCTCCCCCCTTCCCCACCCCCCAGGTACTTACCCAACATCATCCTTCTTGATCTGTACAGCTATTTCTTTGATCTTGTTTACAGCCTGAAAGACAAGTTGGCTTTAGAGATAGTTGCAAATAATCCTGATACTATAACATTGCAGTACATACCACTGATGTAATTTCATGTGTCATGCAGCTACATATATTTCAGCTATATCATGGTTGTCTGAAAATAATCAGACAAACCAGTGATTGATATCATGAGGAACCCATGGTGTGGGGGTATTATGAATTGCAAACAAAAAGTTGCCAAGCCTGATCACTAATACAGAGTAGGTTTAGCAGTATACTGTATTCCAGCAGCATCACTGCGGAGGACACCAGAAATGGGCTTCACACATTGTACCCATGTGGGGAATCTAACCACTAGGCTATCCCACCGCCCTGCAAATAATTGGAGACGATATCTCTGATCTCTGAACATTCAGAATTAGTGAGTTAAAACTTAATGTTGCATCAGCATTATTTCAGCCATATAGCTACGAGAACATTCAGAAGATTGCAAGAGACAAGTTATTTCAATGTTTAACAGCATCACAATTATTCTTTGTTTGTTGTTTAACGCCGCAATCAGCAAAAATTCAGCTATATGACGTCAGTCTGGAAATAATTGAGTCTGAACCAGACAATCCAGTGATTGAGGTCATAGCATCAATCCAACCAATTGGAATACGATGACATGCATCAACCAAGTCAGCAAGTTTGACGCATAGCAATTATGGAAACTAAACAGAAACGTCAAATCAAACAAGGAGAGTGCCTGACAAAATGTGCAGGTTACTGTCAATACATCACTCCGATGTTCCAGTGAATGAAGCCATCTTCTCACAGACCAAAAGAAATGGTAAACCATGTATGTGGAACTGTCGTTCTTGCCCCAAAGTTACACATACAACTCCGCAGACCACACCATGGGTACAACCTACCAGCAGAGCTCCCTTCCTCAATGCCCTGATGATGATCTGGGGGTGCACACCATCCTCAATAAAGGGCTTGGCCTGTTTCAGCAGCTCCCCGGCCAGTAACACAACACTGGTCGTACCATCTCCAACCTGCAGCAGAAAAACCAGTCATCTGTAGTTAACAGTCACATGTATAGCCCAGCCATACGATTAGAGGCATCCTTGCATGTGAGTGAGTGAGTGAGTGAGTGAGTGAGTGAGTGAGTGAGTGAGTGAGTGAGTGAGTGAGTGAGTGAGTGAGTGAGTGAGTGTGTATGGTTTTACGCCGCTTTTAGCAATATTCCAGCAATATCACGACGGGTGACACCAGAAATGGGCTTCACACATTGTACCCATGTTGGGAATCGAACCCGGGTCTTCGCCGTGATGAGCGAACGCTTTAACTTTAACCACTAGGCTACCCGACCGCCTCTTCTTGCCTGGGATGCAAGGGTACTCTCATGTGTATAGAACTTTGTAATGCCTCACTCTCATCATGCTGACAATTCATTTGACAACCCACACATTTGAAACCCACATATTGCACAGAAATATAAAATAATGTGCCCACCTCAGCATCCTGTGATTTGGCTATTTCCACCAGCGTTCTGGCAGCAGGGTGGACAACTTCCAAGTTCTGTAGAATAGTGGCGCCATCATTGGAAATGGTTGCCTGACCTGTTCACAAATATCAAACATTATCCAGTCAAATTTTGCATAATTGACAAGTTCTGTCTTACCTCAGTTGAAGATAGTTAACCAATGAAAATTTCATAATATTTCAGCTACAAATTACAATGCGAATAGCCTCCTACCTGATTACCAGTAAACCAAATGAAAGTATTACTGTAAGGCATGTTATGGTTATCATTTGGGATCAGAGTATTACAAATTTCAACAGTAATTACATGAACAAAAATGAATACAGATTAGAAAGAATAAATATTTGTTATTCACATGAAGTATACTGAGAACAATTGCTCCTCAAAATTAATTATATTCACATTCATGATTATCAATCTTAAAATCTCAAGATTACCATAACAGAAGTAGTTCTCAATAAGAAATAATATCACTGCCAGTGACAAATGGCTTGGCACTCTATCAAGTCTCAGGAAGAAGTAGCTGGACATACTTGAAGTTTATATCAGTTATGAATCTTGATATATTTCATGTACAGCTATGTAACATGTATTCCCTGAGTGATAATATTTTCAGAAAACCAGCTGACTTCCATCGCAATGCATGTCAAAGAGCCTCCTTACCTCTATCGTTGATTATAAGTTTGTCCATGCCACGAGGGCCAAGAGTTGTTCTGACGGCATCTGCAATGGTCTGACAGGCATTGATGTTGCTGACAATCTGTGGGGTTCCCTGGGAGGAGTCAGTGCCCTCCTTTAGCAGGATGATTGGTGGTTGCTGGAATACGATGACAAATATGTCAATCATGTTATCATTATCCAAATAGACCCAGGGACTAGTTGCTACACAGTCTACAATTAATTTTCAATCAAGGCCTAGATGTTTTAATTAGTTCACTGTGTGAAACTGATAATCATCTGTGTAATTAGGGCAATTCATTAACTGCTCAAATGCTCAACTGAAATATTTGAAATATGAGTTGTCAGGCAAAGCGATGTTTGATCATGTTCATTGACTTAACTCAAATTGCCTATTTGTAGGAGTACATTTTGTTTGTCTGTTGTTTAACGCCGCACTCAGCAATATTCCAACTATACGACGGCGGTCTGTAAATAATCAAGGCTGGACCAAACAATACAGTGATTGACATCGTGGGCATTGATCTACGCAATTGGGGATATGACATGCATCAACCAAGTCAGCGAACATGACCATCATATCCCGTTAGTCGCCTCTTACGACAAGCATAGTCACCATTAGGTGGTTGGTTGGTTTGTCGTTTAACGCCGCACTCAGCAATATTCCAGCTATATGATGGCGGTCTGTAAATAATGTAAATACAAGACTGGACCAGACAATCCAGTGATTGATTTCATGAGCATCGATCCACGCAATTGGGATCGGTCACCATTAGGAAATCATTCAAGCCTGTTGACAAACTGGTCTCATGTAAACCCTAAAACAACTTTATCGTAGAATACCATGCTTGACTTTGTCAAACAAATCATGAATGATATTTACAATATTACAATCAGTCACACACAAAGACACATCACGACAGGGTGAGTGCAATCATTGGCATCAAATTGGTACATGTGGAACTTAATGCCCAAATAACTGCCCTAAATGTCAAATGTCTAAACATTCTTTCGCGTTAAAACTGAACAGACTCGTCTCGATGACGTCTGTGAAATAAAACTTGTCAGATCAGGAATCATGAATAATGTTTCAACACTGTAAACACGCTTTTCTGTCATTTCATTTTTAACAGAAATAAATAAATGCCTCTACTATTAAATAGTTATCTGAAATATTATCGCACAATAACGACGACAGCCTAAATATTGTCACAGTGACGATTTTCTGAACCAGTTGCTAAGACGCTTTCTGGAACATTCCACATGATCGACAGGACACCGGCTCTGATCTAAACACCAGAAATCAATCAAAGAGTTAAAATTGGTATTTGGCGACATCAAATAGAGTTATAAGAACATAGCAGACCATTATCTGGACACTAACAAACTACGATGTTGCCTGATGAGATGGATTGTTCGTAATAAATGATTCTCCACTTACCATCGACATGTTTTCACAAATATTGTTGACAGAAGAATTCTCTAAGGGAAGTAACTCTGAACTAAGGTCCATGGTTGCACGTCGCTAAACTTGTTACAGAATCGTTGCTGTTGTATGTAGGATTATTCATAACAACTGTACAACGGATCAGACTGTTTATAACTACATGGCCCGTCTTGCACGTTTCTTATAAATTTTGATTGCTTTGAGAAATTAAACCATATTCATAATATTTAATATTCAATTATCGCAAGAATCGTTGGCACTAGGAGTTCCCAAGTGAAATACTTTAGTTTTATATATATACAATTATGACATTAAGTTGACTATTTTTTGCTGTCTGGTGTATTTTGGGTGCATTTAAAATACCAAAAATAATTCGAGAAACAACTTGCATCTGTTAAGCAAACATTAGTCAATTATTTGTGGTGATTATTTGTGGGTAACATGTTGCCAAATGATTTAATTTTATGTATTTGGATATGCCAACATGCTTAATGTCCTTCAAAACTGATAACTATACTGGCGATTTGTTAGGTCACATGGCTCTGGACCGGATGATAAACCGAATAGAGCTGACAAATTTACCTGCAGTTCGGCACTGATTGCGGTTGATGGCACATACGTTGTACATCAGTCGGCAAAAGTATCTAATTAGTATCCCAAAAAGTAACTAATTAGTATCCCCCAGAAAGAGGGGGCGGGGCCTAGTGGGGCGGGGCCTAGGGGGATGATGCCTTCCTGATTTAACAAGACCATTCTCAATCTGCAGTAATCTTAAAGCTGACCTTTTCACGCCAAATCTTATAGATATTTATACATAAAGTTAACCTTCAGACTCTGAAAGTGTCTTTACATCCGAGAATGTCAGGATAACATTTGATCTCGTAGATCACAATGACATGAATTTTCAAATTTGACGTCAAATGTCATCTTAATGTTCTTCTATTAGGACAGTGTCAATTATTTCCTATTCAAAAATAAATATATTCGGTTGACTAACATATTGAACTAACTCATGCTTTTGTCTCCAGTTACGTTTGTTGTAAATAATAAAGTTGATCGCGATGATCTATTGATCAGATTGCACTGTGGAAAGGGAAAGCATCAAGCGAGCTTCTGGAGTTTTCTGGCAATCCTGTTGATTGCCTTCAGTCAATACAATACGCTTTATTAAATAAACAAACAAAGACTTCTCTCATATCTCAACCTGTCAATCACTTTCCAGCTAGTACCACTGGGGTCTGACCGGGATATCGAATTTTTAAAAAAAACAGTATCATGTGCCAATTTTGCCCCAGACTGCCATACATATCAACTAGGAAAACAGAGTTTATAACTCTGTCACCATGTCGCCATGACCTAATCATTGTCATATTTAAGAAGTCATGGTCATAAATTTTACTTATGTGTCACTCAGTATAACTTTTTTTTAAACTTTAGGCTAAATAGAAGCCGTAAAACCCATTTTTTAGTTACGGGGTATAAAAAGGTTTAAATTCATTACAAATAGAATGAAATCTATTTTCTGTCGCTTCTTTGCATGCGTGTCAGAATAACCGTGTTCGCTCATCCTAGTATATATATAATATATATATGAAACATCTGGCTGAACTCATGTCATGTATGTTATTGTGTGAAAGAATTACGCCTCCAGGCCAGGTTGTCATGTAAGTATTACACACCGAGTTCCTGGTTGTCTCAGTGTACCTGTGTTGTGAAGGAATTTTCCAACTGACGCACATCGCAATGAAGTTAACGAATCATCTTTCAGAGAATATAACACATTGTGGGTGCATCATGTTTTATGCATGGAGCAATTATTTGTGTGTGTACAGAGTTGCGTCCCTTACACTGTATTGAATTCGTGAAGTGATAACGGAAAATCTCTCTCTCTCTCTCTCTCTCTCTCTCTCTCTCTCTCTCTCTCTCTCTCTCTCTCTCTCTCTCTCTCTTGTGTATTTTCACAATATACAGAGTGATTTGATTTATGGATATGGTAATTTAAAAAAAAAATGACAGGAAGCCGTTTCCTCGTACTCACTGGAAAAAACCCGTATTTATATGTAAATGTCTGTCGCAGCCAAAATGAATACATTGCCCTCTTTAATCATCTGTCATTATTTAAACATGTTTAAAAAGCCAAACCAATTGAGAAGGATTTCTTAAACAATAAGTATATATAATTTGTTGTTTTGGGACAAATGGGCGGTCCCTTAGCTGAAAAACTGAACGCCAGTCTGTGGATGATCTTTATTTCTTTGTTCAGTTGACATTTTCATGACGTAAGCGTGACCTGTCATATATACTGAACCGCAAAAGAAATGCCACCCCAAGTAACATTGCATGAAAAGTTGTCATTCAAATCATGATCTGGGTATTTTTTCAAAGTTTCTAAAATTTAACATTACCTTATCCGGAAAAATGAAAATTTGATGATAAAAAACCCCAAAGCAGATGACAATAAAACCGATCGCCCAAACGCATCACGGCAACGACCATGGTAACCCGATGCGCGTGAGTTCCGTGTAAATTGAAATGCACATACGTTTCCCAATTTCTGCCCTATAAAGGTCCAACCAGATCGGATAACATTAATTCGTTATTGAATTGCTACCACATGCCAAGATTGACAAGAAATCAGCGCCACCAAGCCCTTGGACGACTGCAAGCTGGACAAACCGCCCGGCAAGTAGCCAATGCATTACAAGTCCACATAAGGACCATATACAGGACCAGCAACGTTACCAGACCACTAACACTACAGATGACCGACCACGTAGTGGAAGACCAAGACCTATATAGTTGTGCGACAGCATCTTCAAGATCGCTTTGTTATTGCTGCAGAAACTGCTCGACAGGCCATGGGGGCACACCAGCGACACAGTGCGGACACCGTGCGTCGACGATTGACTAGCACCAGCGCTGGCGCCACCAGCAGTGTAGAAGAGTCCTCTTCTCAGACAAGAGTCGTTACTGTATCTCAACAGCAGATGGCAGAGAGAATCTGGCGATGCCGTGGGGAACGTTATTCGGATGCTTGTGTTGTTGAGAGAGACTCGTGGGGTGGTCCGAGCATCATTGTGTGGGGTGGAATTGGTCTTGCACAGAGGGTCGGCCCTGTGGTCTTCCAGTACATCGGTCCAGGGAGAGGCAATAGTGTCACAGCAGCTCGGGACATTGATCAAGTCTTGAGACCACACGCCATGCCTCATTTGGCACGTCGCCGTAACCACGAGTTTCAGCATGATAACGCCCGTGCCCACACTGCGAGAGCAACAAGAGACGTCCTCCAGCAGAATGGCATCAGATCCATGCAATGGCCTGCCCTAAGTCCCGAATTAAATCCCATTGAGCACCTGTGGGACGAGATTCAAAGACGGTTGAATGACGTCAATGCACATGGCGGACACACGAGATACTCACTTGTCACTTGTGATGCCATTTTCTCAACGAATAGTGTTGTGTTTCACTTTAAGATCATTTGACACTTTTATTTCAACCTTGATGATCAGTTTTGCCAAGTTTAATCTTTTTAATATGTCTCAAAATATGTTTATATATAGTGTTACACTCTTTCACTTTTAGCCCGTGAAGATCCAGCTTTGAATAGGTCTCCAGTAACAAATGCTTGTCGTAAGAGGTGACTAACGGGATCGGGTGGTCAGGCTCGCTGATTTAGTTGATGGATGTCATCGTATCCCAATTGCGTAGATCGATGCTCATGATATCAATCACTGATTGTCTGGTCCAGATGCAACTACTTAGAGACCGCCGACGTGGAGCTGAAATATTGCTGAGTGCGGCAAACTATTTCACCTTTGGAACAAGAAGAGCAACAAGAATATGAATAAAGACATTCTTAGGGCACTATCCTTTGTGACTGAACCTGAGGTTAAACTGTTTTGTAGTTCCGTGCATGTATATTAAAAAAATGTCATTGGGACTCTCAAACACGTTCTCTGCTTAGCATTTGTAACATTGACAACACGTACAGAGGCCCAGCTTTGGGATACGATCATCTGATTCCCGACATCCCAGTATGTGGGCGACCCGGTCATTCCTTTCGTCCTCCCTCGCATGTTTCCGTAACCATTCCATTCGGCTTGTCCCGGATTGGGACCATTCGTGACATTCGTGACCACCTAGTCCCATTCCGGGACAAGCCGAATGTAGAGGTTACGGAAACATGCGAGAGGGGACGAATAATGGGCAGATTTATACCCGTTAGCATTCGTCACCACTCGCCCGTTTCCGTAACCTGTAAGAAGACTCGTCCCCCTATCGATGAATGTTATGTGCGAAAATACGACAAACCAATCAGAATGCGAGTATGATTTCAAGTTCTTCGTCAAAGACTCCCTCAGAAATATATTTTTATTTTACATATGTTTTGCATCTAAAAATATACCCAAGACACAGTTGATTGTGTTCACTCATACTGTATAATTCCGCATGTCCAGATGTGCTTTAAATTGCATCTGAAATGTATATAATATATGGGGAAATATATGTGAACCATACGCAACGAGTTGACCATGTTGTTTTAGGTATACCAGTTTGCGCTAAGACGGAACCCGGTCGCATGAGAGAGCCTCGAGTCGCTATTCGGCTTGTCCCGGAATAGAACGAGTTGGTTACGAATGGCCCCTGAGCTTCCACGAATCGGAATCCAATTTCATCACGCTTATGATCTTAGACCTATCATCATTAGACACGGTTTTAACCAGTGAGCGGTAATTATCTAAATAATATGCCATTTTGACTTCACCCTAAAAGAAAACCACGCCGGCGTGAGCGGATCGAAATAGTGTCAAACGTAGTTGAAGCTAGCATTCCCCATTCGTTACAAATCTTTTATGTTCCATATAAACAAAAAATAACCCATATTCTTAAACTTCATATCCTAACAACATTTTTAATATACGAATATAATCCCACGTTGAATGTGTAGAGTGAATGAGTGTGTGGTTTTGGTTAAAGCCGCTTTGAATTGTATTCCAGTTGTATCAAGGCCATGTCAACTTGATGTGGGAGGAAAACCTGACCATATGGTGCTGACAAACCTAGACACATAAT